CTTAACTGAACAGAGCTGGTCACACTTACATGTTCTCTTAAACTAAAAAGAGAAAAGACATAGGAAACCAATTAGCATTTGAAAGTTATAATTTATAGACATTTTAAGAAATAAATTATTTACCTGTTGAGAGTGTGTTGACAGTCTGTGTAGTTGGATGGCTGAGATCCAGAAAATCAGTAATGAGAAGCTTTGACAGTTACAGATTTGAAAAACAAAAGGGCGGGAATAAAGAACCCTAAACTCTAATGCAAATAACCATTTCAGCATGAAAGGGTTCTTCAGAATGCTATGGTTCTAAATAAAACCATTACTGCATGTAAAGAACCTTTAAAGAACTATATTTTTTAGGGTGTACTAATGTGTAAGGTGCTGCAGGAAATAATTAGCTACATATATTAAATTCATGTTCATCAGCATGACTTGTTTAATGACACTATATATAAAACAAATTGCTAAGGCTATTAAATATGAACTATTAATTCATAATTTGCATTAATGTTTTATCAATCAATCAATAAAGGTATTAGTTGAAAATGTAGCATGCTGTACACAAATTAAATATTGTGCTTGAATTGTATGTCTAAATGTCCAGTCTACTTTAGTTCGCTTCAGAAAACAGAGTTATTTCATTTACATTAACATCAACATTATTAACATTATCTTTTCATAACTAAGCATTGTTTTTTTGTAAAGTTTTGAATCTCGAACTGATGACTGATGAAGTTAATGAAAGCAGGACGATGTGTCCGCTCACAGCTCAAATTCACTCTCAAAGTCTATCTGTGGGACCATGAATCACATTAAGGCTATTGATTCAAATCAAAGCGGCGTTTGGAGTGTTTTTCTTATTACCATTATTATCTTATAAGATAAGTCTTCAAGACTAAGTCTTCAATGGGAGACTATCGTTAATTAAGTTTCAAACTTTCGTTAACACGGTAAGTTGGAGTTGAATTTTGGAAGGTATTTTATATTAAAATTATAACCATTTTCTTTATTTGGGAGAATGAAAAGTTACTGTTTTGAAACCAATTAATGTCGATGTAATTAGCTGTTAGCTGTTATTGTTACAATATTATTTTCATAATTATCACGATTATTGTCTCTGTAACTGCTAAACCGGTCATGGTCAACAATGGCGTTGATTTTCACTCCTCTCAGGATCATCTAATGAGGTGCTCGCAACAAGAAGAGAGAGAGAGGCTTGGCCACGGAGGGAGGCGCCTCTCCGTATTCCTCGCCTTTGAAGAGTTTGTTCTCTCTTTTAGTAGAGGACATACCCGTGCGAAAGTCAGTTGCTCGAGAATTATGTTGCTTTAAAGAAGCCCGTGTGGATTTACCTGAGAAGATACGCTCAGCTGCCTATGAGAAGAGCGAGGCTGTAAGGATTTGACCCGCTCGCGCACAAGCAGTCCATCAGAGAACGCACGGTAACACGCATGACTAAAAGTTCTTATCATATCGGCTACCTTTTAATTGAAAGGGTTATAGATTGTCAACGGATTTGGATCTTATCCAGAACTCTGTAATATGTCCCCTCGGGCAATAAACATTAGACGGCTGGTGTGTAATTGAAACTTTTACTAGGCGGGTGTCATCAGGTGTGGTGTGAGTGGCATTGTAACCTACCTGTCATTCTGTTCTCACAGCCTGCTGAGCGTAGCTATTCTCGCAAATGGTTTAGTTTGCCTATTCTTCATTTAGAGAGTTCAACAGTAGCAGCAATGGACTGGTGGCGGGGTGAAGCTGTTAAAGTTGTAGTTAAAGTTGGCAATAAATCGTTCTGGTTAAAGTGAAAGCCGTCACCACTTTAAAGATGGTTTAGACATACGTTTTTCTTCTTCTTTCTTAGGGTAAAACGTTCAGCTGTGCACAGTCATTTAAATTTTGTTAATATTTTATTTTATTTTATCCTAAGAAACAACTTATATCAAACAGAAAATGATTAACATTTGTTTCTAACAACAAACCTATCAAACTTAAAAAAGAAATCTTGTTGCTGTTGGGTTGACTTCATAGACCTAAATTAACTAGAGTTCATGCGTGTTATTTTATGTTTAACATACATTTCAGAAAAGCATGTACAGTACCCTAAGAGTTTTTCCATTGTGAGCTGAACTCGATTTATTCAAATTATTTCAAATTTCAGATTCCACTGAAGGCTTGGATTTCATTTCTTTGTGCACTGATTTCCATTTTCACGATTGTCATTCTGTAATCTTTGCTTTCAGACCAGGGGTCTCATTTATAACCGTTGCTTACGCACAAAACCTGCCCTGAAAGAGGCGTACGCCACTTCCTACGCAAAAGGTGGGATTTATACAAAACAAACTTGACGGGAAAATTTGCGCACCCGCACGCAAACTCTGACCCATGCGTACGGACTTTTTTTCCTGGAGATAGAAAAGTAATGAAGTAAACAACGATTTTAAACTCCTTTCATTTCATCATATACATTTACATTAAATATTCCACTCTCATTAATGGAGATAAGCACTGAAATTACATAAAGCAGAAGTTAAACCAAAATTATATGAATTTAGACATAGCCTATTTGTAGTGGATGCGCTTGATTACTTTTCCTGTTGTATGTTATGTTTTAATGACAGCGAGGAGTGCTATAGGTGCACAATAATTTATCTTTAAAGTAAACTGCACATCTCGTGTTATGAGAAAATATTTTTAGCGAGAACAATGATCAGTGATGATGCTCACTTACTTCGATATTGTGGCGGACACTGCTGGATTCGGTGGAACGGTCCATTATCCGGATTGATTAGGACCAATGATAAGCTTAGCTTACTGTACAACTACAGCTGCACGGAAGTGTCGATGTCGTGTGAAGGCATCTCCACAACATTATGAAAAATACCACTGTATTAGAAGGATACAACATGAAGAAAAAAGTAAGATTTGCACGGTTCCTTTTTAAAATAAGTTGCCAATGACGCGCAGAATCAGATAATTCTATTTACACTGCAATAAATATAGGCCTATATTTTCCCACTAAAAATAGCTAAAAGATGTTTACGTTATCAGCAAAACTGCATTAATTAAATTTTTTTTTTTAACAATTTAAATATTACTGGGCCAGTGGAAATGAATGAGATCAACTCTATTCTGGGAACTATTTTAAACAGTTTTTTTTTATTTATTTTTTTTTTATTTTGGTATATTTATTCTAAAACATAACAAGGATATCGAATGATTTTTACCAATAAAAATTGATGTGTATGGCACAAATGGCATTTATAGTCCGAATCGCATATTTCCTTAATATCTTGTACCTTTGAAGGTGTTAAACATGGTGTCACGTGGATGAGAATATGCATGATATGCAGATAAGGTTATGCATAGTAAAATAGGCGTTGTAAGCTCCATATATGGTGATTTCGGGGAGGAGTCGGGGTGGAGATGCTGTACGCACAATCTTCCCATGACTGGGATTTATAAAGGGATTTTTGCGCAGGTTCTGGCGTACGCATGGTTGTATAAATCTGAAAACTTTTGAGCGTACGCAAAATCTAGCTTTTGTGAGTACGTACACTTTTAGAATGAAATCTACAGAGAGTTTTATAAATGAGACCCCAGACCTGGGGCCTTATGTTATGTATAAACGTTGCTGTTTTCCACGCACGTATCTGGATTTATAAAAAATAAACTTGGCGTAAATATGTGCGCACCGTACGGATACTCTTGACTGTGCGTACGGACTCTTTTCCCTGGCGTGAGAAAAGTAATGAAGTAAACAAGGATGTTAAACTCTGTTTTCATATCGATATACACATTTACATTAAATATTCCACTCTCGTTAATGGAGATAAGCACTGAAATTACATAAAGTCATTACGCAGAAGTTAAACCAAAATTAGGCTACATGAATTTAAACATATTTGTAGTTGATGCGCTTAATCACATTTCCTGTGGCATGCGATGTGTTAATAACAGCGAGGAGTGCTATAATAATTCATATTTAAACTAAACTGCAGATCTGATGTTATGAGAATTTTTTAGCGAGAACAATGCTCAATGATGCACACTTACTTCAATATTATGGCGGACACTGCTGGATTCGGTGGAACGGTCCATTGTTCGGTTTGAATAATAACTACGGTACAACCGCAGCTGCACAGAAGTGTTGATGTCGTGTGACGGCATCTCCACATCATTATGAAAAATACCACTGTATTTGAAGGATACAACTTGAAAAAAAAATGGTAAGATTTGCGTGTTTCCTTCTTTTAAAATACTTTGTCAGTGATGCGCAGTCATAATTGTATTTATACTGCAATACATATAGGCGTATCTGTTTCCACTAAAAATAGCTAAAAGATGTTCACCTTTTCAGCAAAACTGCATTTTTTTATTTATTTTTTTGAATTGTTTAAAACAATTGAAATACTATTTGGCCAGTGGAAAAGAATGAGGTCAAGTATATTCTAAAATAGGCTTATCTGAGAACTAAACAGTTTTGTTTTTATGGATATTTTGATATATTCTAAAACATTCTGGATGATTTTGGCAATAAAAATTAATGTGGCACAAATGGCATTTAGTCCGTATCTCATATTTCTTTAACGTCTTGTACCTTTGACGTTAAAGGGGTCATATGAAGCGATTTCAATTTTTCCTTTCTCTTTGGAGTGTTACAAGCTCTTGGTGCATAAAGAAGATCTGTAAATTCTCACATTCAAATGTTTTAATGACAGCGAGGAGCGCTATAATAATTCATATTTAAACTAAACTGCAGATCTCATGTTATGAGAATTTTTTTTAGTGAGAACAATGATTAATGATGCACACTTACTTTAATATTATGGCGGACACTGGACCGTTCCACTGCTGGAACGGTCCATTGTCCAGTTTGAATAATAGCTACTGTACAACTGCAGCTGCACAGAGGTGTTGATGTCGTATGAAGGCATCTCCACAACATTATGAAACATATCACTGTATTGAAATACTATTTGGCCAGTGGAAAAGAATGAGGTCAAGTATATTCTAAAATGAGCTTATCTGAGATCTAAACAGTTTTGTTTTTATGCGTATTTTGATATATTCTAAAAAATTCTGGATGATTTTGGCAATAAAAATTAATGTGGCACAAATGGCATTTAGTCCGTATCTCATATTTCTTTAACGTCTTGTACCTTTGACGTTAAAGGGGTCATATGAAGCGATTTCAATTTTTCCTTTCTCTTTGGAGTGTTACAAGCTCTTGGTGCATAAAGAAGATCTGTAAATTCTCACATTCAAAGAGATATTATTTATAAAAGTTAAGAGTCAACCACGCTCAGACCGATGAGCTTTGTAAAAATCAACGCGTTTCAGAAAGGCGTGTTTTTTGAACTTTAAACTGCATAAACACATTTATTACACCAAATACACCAAATGATGTTCTTTTTAGCAACATCATATGACCCCTTTAAACATGGTGTCACGTGGATGGGAATATGCATGGAAATGATATGAGGTTATGCATAGTAAAACTAGGCGTTGTAAGCTCCATATAATGGTGATTTTGGGGAGGAGACGCATGTACGCACAATCTTCCGCTGACAGGGATTTATAAAAGGATTTTTGTGCAGGTTCTGCCATATGCATGGTTTTATAAATCTGAAAACTTTTGTGCGTACGCACACATTTAGGATGAAATCTACGGAAAGTTTTATACATGAGGCCCCTGGACTCCCACCTCACCTACCTCAATGACATGTCTATGTGTGTTTTTGCATAGCTTACATGCTTTGTATTGAATTTTGCCTCACTGTAACTAGAGCAGTGGTTTTCAGTTGGGGTCTTGGAGGAGCCCAGCACTGTACATTCTTTATCTGACAAACCCAATTCAGGTATTGTTGCTTCACCTGATGAGCTGATGATAAAAATCAGGTGTTTTCAATAAAGGACACATCCAAAATATGCAGTGCTGGGGTCCTCCAGGACCATGATTGAGAACCACTGACATAGAGAGGCAAAAAACTACATACTTTCATTTATTCTTATGAATGTTTTTTTTTTTTTCAGTTCTTTGGTCACTCTTGTGTTAGTTGACCTGGCTCTCACCTCACTTCTTTGTCATATAATGATCTCTCAAATATTTGGCCTCTAGCACAACAAGATGCTTTTATCTGGCATGTACGATAAATAAGCTGGTTTCAGAATGTGTGTGTGACAGAAATGTACAGTCTTGTGTGTGAGGAAGATATTACACTAGTGCTTTTGAGGAGAACGTTGAGATATCTCGCAAGTGTCCTGCAACTCCACCGCAGGGTCCACATCCCTTGGCCTTAGCTGACCTGAGCTCATTCTTTCTAAGGGTCAGTGCAACACTCTGTGCTCTGAATGGGCCTCTGTGTCAGTTACTAGAAAATTAATCATGGTGCCAAACATTGTACAAATAATTCAGTGGTTTTTAGGGGGGGTCGGCTTT